CATGTTGCGCGATCGCAGCCTCCTATCGCCCTCATCGGCGCTTCCGGCCAAAACAGGGAGCAGATGGCCCCGGCGAACGACAACGCCAAGACGCAGCCGACTGCTCCTGAGCGCGTTGATGCAAAATGCTAAAAAGAAGTACTCCACTTGAGGGGGTGATACCATGAGCCATGGCCATGGCTTTCATGATTTTTTTTTTGGGGGGGGGGGGGGGGTATCATAAGTTCGAGGTCGATCTCTCCGAAAGTCGTTCGCGCATGCATGTGCATCTATCCTGTCCTCCCAATACCTCGCATGACCCAATGTCATTCGTCTTTCTCTTGACACGAGGCTACACCAATAAGAGGTGTCAGAAAAAGCGACCGGCGCCGGCTTCAACCGCTGGGGATGAAGCCCCCGACCGGCCCATGATATCACCAAAAGTAGAGGAGCCGCATCCACGGTCGACCGATCCCAGTTCCCCGCCCTCAAGGTCCATTGGCGTAACAGGACCAGGGCTGCCTAGGGGAAGAAGCCTCGGCGAGAGCGGCTTGCCTCCACCAGAGGCTGCAAAGTGGCGCATGCCGGCAAGGGGGAATCCATTGAGCATGACGGTCGCCGTTGCCGTCGTCGGTTGTGGTGCAGTCGTGGTCTTGGCTGAGCTGCCCAGGATCTCCGTGGCGGCAAGCCTAGCTTGGGCAATCATGTCTCGCTGGTACTGCGCGAGCTTTCTGCGGACGTCGGAATCTTGGCGACTCGTTTGGAAATTTTCGTTGGACACGGTAGGAACTTGAGATTCGGACTTGACAGACGACGATAGCCCGGCAACTCCGACAGGTCGAGGCTGCACCGGTGTCGGCTCCATAGACGTCGTTGGGTGGGGCGGGTGGTTGCGCTTCTCGTAGTTGGAAGGATAATACTTGCCCATGGGTAAAGTAGTATCGCGAACACCGCTGGGCAAGTAGGATGCGACAGGCAGGTTAGATCGTGGCTCGTTTGACTTGGCGGCGAGCAAGGTCGTGGGTTCGGTCATGGCGGGCAGATTGGAGGTACCACCTGCAGCAGGTAGGACAAGGGGCTCAATGGCGGGATCAATTCGTTGCTGTCGAGGTTTCCGGGCTCCGGCGAAAGGGTGAGGACGATGAATTCGAGCGGTTGCGTCTTCGTGAAGAGGAAAGTAGCCACTAATTTTGATCGGTTAGTCAATGATGCGCGCATGATTTTGTATGCTGACAAGAGTCACTGGAACTGGGGGGCGAAATGACTTAGTAACGTACCCAGGAACGTCTCCACGTGCGGATAGAGGTTCCGGTGGTGTTCGAGAAGGGCCCGACTTGAACTTTCGGACAGCCGGGAGTTCAATGGTGATTGGGTTGCTGTGGTTGGATCTGGCTGATCTTGCAGATTGGAGAGACGAGGATTCGATGGCGTTGAGATTGAGGTCGAAGGGCGAAGCTGCAGAGGTATGGAGAGGCGGCTTTGCTTGAACTGGGCGAACAAAGGTTGTGTTAGCACGAGGAGACTCGTGGGGTCTCGCCAGAAGAGAAACGGGCAAATGATGTATTGGTCGGGAAGGCCGGAGCGGGAGGCCGTGGCTATGGGGAAGGACGGCGGGGCTGGATTGTGCTCGGAATCCGTGACGCTGACGCTTGACGCTGACGCGCGAGACTCAATGCTGACGCAAGGTGTGGCCTCGTAGGTTCGCTTACTCGCGCTTGCTTTCGCGAACTGATGGCGCGGAGACGGAGGCAAAGCGAATACATCGGGCATGGGAGGACGTCACGGGTGAGCCAGGATAGTTTCGCCGCATGCTGGTTTATTAGGCGTCGCGCCGCGAGGAGGTGGCCCCTCTTGGCCCAGCAAGGCCAAAACCTGCTGGTGGCCCTGGACTACAGGGGGGTGGGGGGCTGGCTGCTGGGGCTCGGTCTTCCTTGATGCATCTTATCGCAAAGTGAAAATTGCGTCTCTCGCCGGCCAGCATGGCACAAAGTGTGATGAGTGACACCATGGGGCGCGGGAAAATGCCACGAGGGGAAAGTAAACGAAATAGTGGGAGGAGATGAAAGACGGGAGACAGGGGAAATGCTACCGGAATGGCAAGGTACCTGGCCCGGCGGCGCATTCTGCATCATCGACTGAATCATGCTTCACAGCAGGAGGGACGGCCGGGCAAGCCATCCGTTGCCCCAGGGCAAGGCGGCTGGTGGAAACAGAGATCCAAGGGGGAAAGGTGTTCAGTGCTAGGCCCTACAGGCCTGAGCCAGGGCGCCAGCAGCCGTGGAGAGGCAAAGAGAGAGAGGGCCGGCCACCTTCCATCTTGTCGCTGCCCACGGTGTGGCTTACCCCGCTCCGGCCGGGCGCTGGTTCGTGAGGTGGGGCGCAGGATGGAGGCTTCTGTCCTTCGTAGTGCCAGCCGAGTGTCATGCTTTTCCCCAAACGTACAAGGCCATGCGGTACCGAACGACAGGTTGGTGTGACTTGGCCGTTGGGTATTGACACCACCAAAGGACAGATGAGGAGGATGGAGACGCACGCGCACACACACAGAGAGAGAGAGAAGCGAGAAAGATATCAGACTTGCCTTGCGAATGACGACCCTTCACCTCCTTCTGCGCCGGCCTGGACTCTTTGGCGGCCAGACTTTCCGTAACCGTCTTCTCCAGAGCAGGCGTGTTCAGGCCGGACATGACCCCGACGTCGAGGTGATCATCTGCCCACGAGTTGGCCGAAGCCGCCGAAATATCCGACGAGTGGGAAAAGGTTCTGGCTGCGAGGGCGGGCCGCCGGCTGCCGTTGCTGCTGCTGCTTGCGCGGGATAGATAAACGGGGGACTTCAGAGACCGTCCCAGTGTAGCCATCGTGTCGTCCGCTGCGTGGTGCCCAACACCGAGGTCTCCTCGTGTGTCCTTGTCGTGATCGGTTTGCTCTTGCATGTGCCTGGCTCTCTGAATCGCCTAGTATCGGTTCGGGGACGCTTTCTCCAGACGTGTGAGACAAGATGTGAAGGCTGACGGCGATGGGGGACACCGGTGTCGCGGGAGGTTCGGACGAGAACGAGGTCTGGACATCAAGCCGGAAAGGAAGAGTGGCCGAGGAGGAGATGGTAGTAGGAGGGCGATAGGCAGCTTAAGTTTGGGTCACAGCCAGGCGCCAGAAAGATGATCCATGGAGATGGAGATGATAGATGGAACCTGCCGGAGAAGATCTGTTGGACGAGAAGGCTGAGGGCTCCATTGTTTCCTGTGTTTGGCTTGTCGAAGGTGATCCGCGACCGAACGTCTGAGGACCACCCACCTCGCCCCCCCCCCCTCGGTGGTACTGTCACTGTGTGGTACCGTACACTGTCTACTTCATCTTCCCCCCGGCGCCTCCACCTACAGATATGCAGTGGGAGATGGGTGCCCGCGCAAGGTGTGGAGTGGTGGGTGGTCGGGTGTATTGGTGGTGTGCTGCGTGGTTCGCCGCAATTGAAAGCGCGAGATGATCATGGCTTGGACGTCCCTATACCTACCTACGCTTGGAAGGCCACGGTACGAGCCCCCTCGCCTCCTTGGCTGTGTTGCCTTGGCAAAAGAGGTGGAAACCCGAATGGCAAAAACGGGAGATGAGCCTTCTGTAGTAGAGATGGGGCCACAGGCAAACCAACGTGCCAGCGCCTTGCCGCCCAGGCCGCGGCGCCCTTGGCAAACAGTCGAGAGCGGAAAGTGGATGGCGGGGGAGTATCTACGTACGGGCAACGCTGCAGCGCTGGGAGACGGAGGTGTTGATGGAGATGCAGCTTTCCTCTTCCCTTGTTCCCTCCACCGCTGGGCACGCCTTCTCGTCATGATGCCGACTCGCCGAACATCCGCAGGGTATGTATTGTTAGTGTCGCCTTCCTGCATTGTGTCTCCACGGGCGCAATACGCCAGCAAACGTTATCCCCGGATACCCTGCCTCGTACTTGCTCCTTTTACCCGATCATTGGGACGCAGGCAAGGCACAAAAGAAGGAAGCAGTCGCAGTGGACAGGTGGGACTTGCCAGGCGGATCGTGGCGGCGGCGGCGATGGAGGCAGGCAGAAACAGCAGCGGATAATTACAGGCAAAGGTAGACCTACATGTACTAACTACCTTACCCAACTAAGGTACCTAGCTACCCAGATATTGGTCAGTGAAATGGCCCATCGATCATGTTTCTCCTGCGCGGCGGTAGGCGTACCTACTGCTCGCCGAGCTTTCTGCTATCCATCTCCATGCATCTTTCCGCCTGTTGCCTCGTTCTTTGTGGGACGGTAGCCTTCCCCTCCCCATCAACAAAGCGGTGACAAGAGATAGAGTCCACCGTGGCGGTTCTCTCTCGAACGATCGACTGCCCAGGTAGTCATTCCTTCGACCCCTGGACCCCTGGTCGTGGTCCCCTGCCCAGCCTGTCCTCTGCTGGCGCCATCAGCTTTGGCGGCTCGAGAGGAGATCAAGGCCGCGTCCGTCATGTCGACGTTGTCGCTCACATACTTCTTCATCCCCTCGCGCCACACGATGAGGTGCTGGCAGTTCGATCGCGAATCGTATTGTCGCCTGCTTCTCACCGAGCAGCATCACTGTCTGCCTGCCGGTGGAGCACGCCTAGGAAGGAAGAGGGAGGCGTCATCCGGGTGGGAAACGATCTACCTTTTACAAGCCACCGTTCGCTCCTCTATCAATTGTCTTGTCGCCGCCTTCCATCCATTAGCAGCAGTTCGCCGTCTCCACGTCTGCCCCAACCAGGTCCTCTGAACGAGCGCAGCTGCACAGGTGTCTGGCGGCTTGAATGTCCCATGTGGTTTGGTTTCACTCGCCCGCGGAGACGGACTCGTGACCGGGCCACGATGCTGATCGATGCACACAAAGACCGCATCTGGTGCAAAGAGGCCCGCAGTTCAAGCTCGACGTGGCTCGTCGGAAACCTCACCAGCGAACTGGCACGAACAAATATAACTGCTAGGAATACCTCGCACTGATGGCCTCGCTATTTTTGGACCTAAATTTTGCTACGCATCGAGCACGGCTCGCGCTACTTTGTGCTGGTGTCTCTCATAGAACTCGTATTGGAAATTACAGCAGACCAGACATGAGTCTCTGTTCAGTCGAGCCCAAAAAGGCCAAGCGCAAAGAGGATGGCAAACAGAGTCGCAGCAGGGTCCGCGGGGTGTTTGACCCGACAGAGACCCCGTACGTCATTGTGCCTGAGCATGGCGTTGGGCTTCTGCGCTAGGGAGGGGAAAGAAGGCAAACGGGAACCTTGTTGCGCGAGAACATGCAAGCCCCTACCATAAACGCAGAGTCTGGTAGCGAGCAGGGCGCTCGAGGGTTGTGCACAATGTCTCAGCCGTAGGTGAGATCGTTGAGGAACCCATCGAAAATAGTGGTGTCACATACCAAGCAAATCCAACACCGTGCCGCATGTGACTCCGTTACAAACAGCCATTTGGCGGCTGCGAGCGCCATTTCTCGAGGCGATGAGCGGCATATTCGTCCGACTTGACCCTGCCCCGTGTGACGGTCTCAAACAATACGCCGGCGCGTCAGAGATCCTCACCTCCGCTTCCCCCCTTGTTACCTGGAACAGAGTTCCATGCGGGCCTCCGACTGTGCCAGACAGTAAGCTCGATTTCGCCCAGCGCTGATCTTAATGGCCTGATCGTCTCAACTTTTGTATTGGAGAGCTTTTGGGGAAAAGCTAGTTAGCTGTGACGGTACTAGCGGGCTTCTACAAGAGTACCTTAAGCAACTGACAGTTCAGGGTTAGGGTTGGGCGCCGGGTAGCCACTGGATTTTAGTTCTCGTGGAACAGTCGGATCAGAGCGTCGTGTAGTAATCCGGAAGATGTATTAGGCAAGGTCTTGCACTTCTAGTAGCATCTCTCGCCTCGTGTCGGCATATAGCAGAGCAATGTCGTCTGACAGTCGATCGTGGCGGTTCTGGACAACCTGCCAATGGTGTTGTTGGAGATCGTGAGCCTCACCGATGGCTCTTGTAGCAAATCCCAATCATGAAGGGCTTTCCTCAAAGCCGAGCTTATGAGTCATACGTGCATTCTTGGCATTCATGCTAAAAAGTTCATCCGATGTGAAGCCGGCTATCCGTGCCTTGTCAAGAAGACTGGCCTTGTGAAAAGCCACGAAAGCTTTGTATGCGACTGGCGGGTCGTCGTCGCGGTCCATCGTTAGCTGGAGCGAGGCCCGAACTCAAAGCCAGAAGGCAGACCAATGCCAGCCGAGGCGGTGACCAGGGCCGTAAATGGCCAGTTCGCGTGTCCGTTTCTACCAAGGGACGATCCGGGGTGGCTGGATTCCCTCGAGTCCCCGGAGCCAGTTTGTCAACACGTAAAAAATAATAGTTTATAGTAGTAACAACCAGGATAGCTCTCCGTTTATATTATCGCAGGCTTCTTAACCTCAACCCAACAGGAATTACAATATATAGGTCTAACTGGAGTGAGGGCCGCTACCATAGAGCAGCAGACTAACATCTCTCGCAGGAGGGCTTTAGTGACCTGTCTGATGCCGAAATGAGTCTCTGCATGGCATCTTGATCCAGAGGCCAACAGACGTGGAGAAGATAACAGGCGTGGTCCCAAACAAGCGCATCAAGCCAACCATGATCATCAGTGACCGATTGGCACGTTCCCTAGACAGTGTCCAAAACTCTTAAGGCCGGATGTGCCCTGGCCATTTGCATCGTATGCTCTTTGATGAGCTGCTCTTAGTCGGTTGTATGTTCGCGCGACACAGTACTGTAGACTTTGAGGCTGGATTCGAACTCTTGCTAATATCGGTGATCGGTCACAGAAATTTGTGGAGTGTCCGAGTAGAGATGGTGGATAAACACATGGCCAACGTTATCGGTCAAGGGAGTCGAGTGACCGCCTCAGGCGGGACTGACTGTCACCATAACTGTCGGGACCTTGAGGAACCAGACGTTTGTGGGCACTTTGCCTTCGCGCCACCTGACCTAGGTAGATTCAGTTCATATCCAATGAATTAGTTTCCTAATAAGCATGAGCAAGATGTAGAGAGATCTACAGCCTCTTCGCAGCGTAATGTCTTGCACCCTTGACATGGCCTTCACGAACTCGCTCGAGGTGGATTCATTCGTAGTAGCGTCAGAGAGGGGTCGACTTTCCTGGCTATCCATATTGTTACGTAGTTCTGGCGTTTCAAGGTCAGAGTAAGCCCGTCGAAGCCAGGGCAAGGCGAACAAGGGTTGTGGCCAGTTAGACAGACATCAAGCCGACCCCAGCTTGGACCGAGACCCTTCTGGGGAAGCGCACGCATACATCGTGTGTCATGAATACAGATAGCACCAGCTCGGGCCTAAAGCAGGCCATCACTGATGGGTTTCATCGTGGGGCGTCACGCATTGGAGCCATCGTTCGTTGTCGCAGACTTTCGCTGAACCGACGAGGCCGCTTGGATGAACAGGTTGACCAAGTGAGGCGGTCTCGGCACGTTTCAACTGTCACGACTCACGAACATACTAGCTGCGTGCGATTGGACATTGATGAGCGGTCACGTATACTAGGTTTTGGGGCAAGGACGACTGTGCAGACTCCAAACACGATCATTCCTGTCTTCTCCCTCATCCACGATATGGATCCGACACTCCCAGCACCCGACTATGTCACAGAGAAGCAGTTCTGGTGGCCCTGGAATAAGTTCTGTTTACCCCCCGACGCCCTATACACCACGCTCCACGAACGCTTCAACACCAGGTCAAGCACCATCCAAGAGCCTTCCGCATTTCACCGCGACGTTGTCGAATGTGCCAACAACTCATCGACCGTGGAAGAGTTGTACAACAAGCTCGCCGGGCGGAAGAGTGAGCGCATCAACGAGATTGATGCCGCATGGACGGATGTAAGCCTACTTTTGGGGGGGAACGCCGTCCAGCTTTTCGTGTCCCCAATGTCGAGGATGCTTGCAAGAGGAAAACTTGGGGGAAGAGTACCAGGCATCCCGTTGGGAAGCGTACGTGCGTTACTGTCGATTTATGTCAGCTGATCGTCTGGTTTTATACTTTGACGAGTATGCCAGAAACGAGCGTCACCTGCAGAAGATGGAGAGAGATGAGGCTCGGAAGGTGCTGGATACATACTGCCCGCTGGGACAGCGCGGACGTCAGCGCCAGGCGAAATCCCCTCCTCCGCCACCGGATCGCGTGGGATCAAATGCAGACCCGAATGTGCAACCGGAAACACCAGCGTCGCCTCCTCTCATGACATCGACGACACAGTTCAACCCGGATAATGGACAGGCGGGCTTGCCCCAGACGCATCCATCAGGTCTCCTACGAAGAAGGAGGCGGAGCAGAACCCCTGCCGGCCGAGGCGTTGGTGCTGAAGGACGACATTATAGGCCTCGATCATTCACTGCGCCTCCCGACTTGATGCGCACGCACAGCGAGGGATCCTCTTCGGCATCCTCGTCAAACGCATCTCGACGAAGGAGCTCCGTTGCCTATCAGCAAGCGACGTCTGCCTCGCCATCGGCTCCAGACGTACGTCCGGCCAAGCGAAAGGGTGCCGCGACAGCGAGTTGGGAAGTGGCAACGAGTCCCTACGGCACGGGGCAAAGAGACAGTGGCCATTACCAGGCCTTGCCGGAACTGGCTATCGCGTGGAGGAGGCCAGGGCACTACGGGGTGGATGTCCAACCTCGGAGGGTGAGAGCCTTGAGCGGGTGTTTGGTCGTCAAACTCCTTCGAGCGGTTCTCCAGCATAGCAAGCGCATCGGAACTTTGGCTGAAAAAGAGGCCAGACTTGGATGGGCTCGACGGTGAACTCTGTGATCGAGGAAGTTCTAAGGGCGTGACGGTTCGGGCCACAGCACCGCCTCATAGCTGAATCCCTTCAACGGGCTATAGGGTCACGGAAATTGCAGAGCATGGCCGCTTGTGCACCTGCAGAAAAGAGAAGATCACTGTTAATGCTCTTGATTGTATTCATCTCGCGTCTCGTCATGCCATTCAACCTCGTCACATTATTACCCTGTACGCATCCCACGCAGCGTTGGTGGGCCGGCCAAGATGCGTCTTGCTGCATTATCGATGACGGTGATAAGAAACCGCTCTGCTGCATCGGGCGACCGTAGAGCCATATTCAGCAGCTCCCCGTCCCCCGGCTCACCTCGACCAATCCGCCGGGAAGGCTCGTGTCATTCGGCTGCGATTTCGTGTTTGTGTTCAGACCCTGGCGCGGCCGGTGAAGCGCGAGTGGCGCTCGCGGTGACGGAACCAGTAGATGCCCATGAAGATGGCCGTGATCAGCCAGAGCAAGGCATTGGCGAGGAGCACCCAGACTGCGTTCTTCATGCGCTCGATCGCACCGTCGCCCTCGGCGTTTTCGTTGATGTACATCTGGAGAGGAGAGCACAGTGTCAGCAGGTCATGTTTTCTAGGGGGGGAATTGGGCAGGGTGGCTAGCATCGGGTCCTACTCACATGGCCAAAGATGCCGAATGCAACGATCCAGAGGACGAAGAGGACAAAGTCCCACGCAAAGGTGAAGGCGAAGCGCAGGATGAAGGGGACCATGAAGAGGAGGGCCGTCAGGGCGGAGAGGGCGCCGACGACGACGGCGTAGACCCATTTCGCGTCGACGTAGCTGTCGGCCTCGCGCGCGCGCTGCAGATCGGTGCCGTAGAGGCCGATGACGGTGATGGCGAGGACGAACTGGAAGAAATGGATGAGGGTCAGGGAGAGGTAGACCACCCCGAGCTCGAGAATCGACTTGAAGCCCATCGTGGCGATGGTTTTGGGTACTTCCCTCCTTGTCGCTGCGTTGTGATGCGGTTGTTGATCGTCGTCAATCGGAGTATTGGTGATGACGTTGTCGTAGTGGTGTGCTTCGCGACGGACAGGGTCAACAGTTCTTTTGCGGGAGGTCTTGGTTTGGTGTTGTGGAGGGAGCAAGCGGAAAGTCGACCGACGAGCAGGCGGACTGGTTATTGATTAAGAGCAAATAGGCGTTGGCGCAACCCTGTCGGTGAATCAAGAACTGGTCGCAATCAGGTTCTTGTTTGATGGCGAGTACATCAAATAATCTCACCCCTCCCTTTAGACCAAAACTCTAATCCCATGAACTGACGCACCTTTTTGGGCCAGGGAAGGGTGGGTGCCCGGCTCACTTCAGCTCCGACTCCAACAAAATCCAGGGTCCAAGGCCCAGTTCCTGTCGATGACAAGAGACGGGAACCCTATGACGCACTCGAGCGGGCTTTCTGCCAGCATGATTGGCTGACCCAACACTCCCCCTTCACTGCATTTCGTCCGATGACTCCACCGACAGCACCGAGCGCGCGCTGTGGAAGGGGCCGTTCAGGACCGCCTGACCTCGACGCTCTGCGAACACCTGCCAACTGCCACGGGGCGCTGACGTTTGGGGACGGTGGCTCGTGATGCGCCTGGTACATCATTGGCGCATCGGCTCGGCGGTGAGGGTTTCGACTGCTGCAGCCTTGCGTCTCGACTGTCGTTGAGCGGATATGCAGCACCTTTGACGGCTCTGAGATTGTGCACATGGCTTTTTTTGAGCATTCTGTCTTGTCAAATTCACTATATATATTGGCACTAGCCCGTCGAGATTTGACTAATGGCCTCTTCAGCCACCCTGTCGGGGCTTGCATCTGAGCGTGGGAATGATGACCTTCTGAGAGGAGCCCTTGCACGTCGTGGGTGCCTGGCATGTATAAGGTACCTATGCTCGATCCACTCGCCTCTCGACGATAGCGCCAAGAACTCGCGATACCTGCATCGAACCAGTGGTCACAGTGAGGTCACTCAGAAACCGAAAAGAACCTCTGCATCTGTCAGGTTCAACATGAGACTGACGTATTGCCGGGTTCGGCACAGTCTCTCAGTTCAGGCCTTCTAATAAAACCAACAGTGTCTTTATCCATCTCCGACGACTTGTTTGAATAAGCACCGGCTGGCCCGAGGTCGAGTCCCACGGTCATTATATGGCTCGGACAGGTCACGTTTGCAAGCAAAGCGGTAAGCACAGATACACAATGTAAAAAATCAGTTGGCTTCGAATGAGCTTTGCAAGGCTACTTCATAATATTTTACAAACATGGGCATCAACCCTATGGTACATCTGCTGTACAGCGACGCGGGATTTTCCCGACACCCTCTCATGGGCGGGATCCGCCGTCGGGTATCCTAGAAAAATCATTGTGTGAACACGCTCGTCGTATGACAGTGGTCTCATGGCACTGAGAGCGGGACGTTGTTGCGACCCCTCTTGCGGTCGTCAAACGGCACGCCGTACCGCGCACCAACGCCCTTGTGGCCACGTCCGGTCTTGCCGACAACCTCGACATTGACGTCCTGGAAGCGGTACTCGAACCGCTTCGTGTCAACACGAGACGTTTGCGACATCTCCAGCTGCACCTTCTTCTGGTGCTTCTCCTTGAGGCGGTCCTCCTCGGCTCGGGTGTCGGCCTTGAACTTGAAAAGGCTCGTCTCGAGGGGCACGCCCTCGAGGGTAGCCTTTTGCAGCTCGATGAGCTGCGTGTGCGGCGCACGCTTGTCAACCGGCAGCAAGCTGCGGTGGAGGGCCTCGGCGGCATCCTCGCGAGTGAAGACGCGAGACTCAGACGTGGGCACGAAGAGCTGCTGCTGTGAGAGCTTGTGAACATCAATCTCGTGGATGGGTTCATGCTCGAACTGGTTCTCCGGGTTGTAGGTCGTGGTGGGCACCATGCCGAGTATTGCCTTGGAATATGGCTTTGCCAGCTGTTTCCCCTACAAAGCAATGTGTTAGCCAACTGTCTTCTCCGATAGCGTCCATGTAACGAAGGGAGAAGTAAACAGCTAATCAGCGAGGCTCGCAGTGCCAATATTGTAACCATGTTGTGCGTCTTCAAGACTAATCGATTTGTGAAAGATGGATCATCATGAAAGCTGTGATAGAAATATCCGAGGCAAAAATAAAAAAGTTGCGACGTTTTCTTACCTTTGCCTCCCACTGCTTCTCCAGCGTCTTCAGCCGCACTACGGCAGCGACGCGGCGGATGTCGACACCCAGATCAGCCGAAACGGCCTTCAGCGATAGCTTTTGTTGCGTGACGCGCTTGAAGATCTCCTCGCGCATGCTCTCGTCCAGAACGCGTGGGCTCCTGAAGAGCGGGTTGAGGGGGAACGGCTGATCAGCGGCCTGGCCGAGATACTTGGTGCCATGCGTCGGCGCTTCCTCGAAACGGCGACCAGTCCTTTCCATCCACTGGTACATTGCATTACGCAGCTGCGACGTCTTCTCGCGATGCGACGTCGTGGAGAAGGGGCACGTGGTCTTGGCCAGACCCAGGCGCGGCGCTGTCGGTCGCGTGCAGCGCTTGGCCGTCATGGCCATGGCCGACGATGCCGGACGCGCGGCCATTCTTGTGTGAAGTGTGGGAAAGGTGTGGAGGTTGAATTGCAGGGTCGCCGAACGCGAGCCTCGATGCGTTGTCCTATGGCGGGTGGTGCATTAGGGACCTCGCGGTCGTGCTTTGATGGACCGGCCACGGTCGAGTTGTTGTGTAGGAAGAAAGGAGAGTCGGCCTGGCACCAGTTTTGAGGTCGGGAACACGAAGCAAATTTTCCAGGTGTGTGGTCCGTGCTCCGAAGCTCCAGACGAGCTCCACGGGCCGGCCCTGTCCCGGTGTCGAGCCCCGTGGTTCGCAACCAAGCAGTGCGATTGCAATCAGGTGAATTTCAGCAAGCGATCGATCAATCTGTCGCGACGGGCTCAGGGCCGCGAGAAAGCAAGGCTTAAAAGTATGGCGGCTTGAAATACAAGTCAATTGGTCTATCCCGGTTCTTCACCACAACCTTTCCATGGCTTGGCAGTAAACGTGCTGCACTGGCTCAGATATACTGCCCTCCGTAGCTGTGACGCTTGTGTGAGAAGTCTTGACATTGCGTAGTATTTATGTAGGTGTATGTGTTCTCGAGGATTAATGTACTCTGCTCTCATATATGCGAAAAGAAGAAGCTCCTCTTCCTGCGGCGCTGGTGGTTTGGTATTACTTTGTACACGACCAAAACGTTGTACAACAAAAGAATTGCCGTTGTGAGACTGGGGCTTAATCGTGTGCTGCCCCTCATGATATATCCTATGCCGCTGCCGTCGTCACTGACAATCGGTTCTTTTTCGATTTCGCCTTGACGCCCGCCGCCTTTTTTGCGGCGTCGTTCTCCTCGGCATCCTGTGCAAAGTCCTTCCACTGCCTCCATCCGTCGAAATCAATGAGGGCTTGCATGCATCCCCATTCCATGACCTTGCGTTCTAGCCAGACAAAGTTGACCGGCTGCAGGATGGTTAGCTTCTTCGAGTCGTGGCCCTAGCCGGCATCTGTGGAGACGTACCTTGGTCAAGAAGTCGTTGCATCCGGCAGCCAACGCCTCGTGTCTGTCGCTCTGCAGGGAACTGGCTGTCAACGCAACAATGATGACCGGGCTTTTGAACAGCTCAATGTTGGCGAGACGATCCTTGTCTTCAATGTCGCCCTCCGTCCCCTCAGGCTCACTCGTCACTGATCCGGAGAAGACGCCCGAAGCAGACGACGAGAAGACACCGATCGAGTTGACGCGCTCGAGTCGTCTGATTTCTTTCGTGGCATCGAGTCCATTCATGATGGGGAGTTGAATGTCCATGAGCACGAGATGGAAGCCTCCACCCTTCCACTTCTTGACGGCGTCCCTGCCGTTCATGGCAGTCTTCCAGCGCACCTTTAAACGTTTGACAAACGCTTCGAGTAGTTTCAGGTTGATAGGGTTATCCTCGACGATCAGCACGTTGATGGGGGGAACGCCACCAGCTAGCATCCCGGCGGGGAGCACGGGGTGAGCGGGTGCGATCTTTTTCCTTGCCGGCCGAGCGCTGGAAGGACGTGGAGACGCAATTCTCGGGGGCGGTGTCGAGATTCTTTGTATCGCCGACGGTATTTCTGGAGCAGGAGGTGTAGCTAGGGGAGGCGCAGGTGGCACAATGGCAGCTGACTCGGCCGAGGCGTTGGATTGCGTCCTGGAGGGAGGTAACCTGGGATGGAACGAGGAGTGTACGGGATGAGCTGTGGGAGGCCCACCCACGTTAGATGGCACGCCGTTGATGAAGGTCGGAGATGACGTATGCGTCCTTCCGAGCTGTGGCCTATTCGGTCGGGTCTTGTACGCGTGCGAACGACCGGGCGAGGGAATGGGGGGAACCTGGCCCGTTCCAAGGATCGATATTGAATGTGGGAGGTGTCCTGTGTGCTGAATGTGAATTGCGTGAGGCGGCGGCGGGCCGCCGTTTGGCGCAGCGCCTGGCACTTCGAGGTTGGGGGAGGGGATGGCGCCGACAGGTGGGAAATAACCTTCTCCAGCCTCCGAGGGCCTCCCCGTGTCATGAGCGTAGTATACGGCTGTCGGGTGGGAGACGGCGCCTCGCGGCGATGGTCGAGGTGTTCGTCGGGTCGGTATGTCAATGACGAGAGCCTCATCGACGGTTTGACCGCCAGGGAAATATGCGTCGATGGTGCGGCCCATGGGCTCTTCGGGACCCAAAAGCCTCTCCTGCCGCTCTTCGCGCGGAAAGATACGCAATGTCAAGTCTGGGGCGTCAAAGTGTCTTCCCAAGGAGTTTGTGTATTTCTTCAGGATCATGTCGCGTACGTCGTCGACCAGGTCATCTTCGTTGATGGTGATCAGAGTGGCTGAGGCACCGGCCCGCTTCACCCAGATCTTGCGGGTCACCATGTTGGCGTTGATCGACAGCAGATGGTCGGCGGTCAAGTCTGCCTCGTTGATGTTGGCGGCCTGTAGCAGAGTCTTGATGAGGGCGTCTTGTCGGTTCGGGAGAAGGCTCTGCCGGCGCGGGGGACCGGTCGGCCTTGCGATGGAGGAGGCGGAGAGGGTTGCTGGCACGGGCGCGGGCGCCGTCGCAGGCGCGGGTGTTAGGACGTCAGAAGCTGCAGGCCCACGATGCAGCGGGTCGAGATGATCGTCGTCGTCGTCGTCGTTGTCGGGATCAGCAGCGGCAGCGGCAGCGGTAACAGCAACGGCAGCGGAGGCGGCGGCGGCGGCGGCTGCGGAGGACGCAGCAGTATTGCGAGCAGAGGTGGAAACAGAGGGAGGGAGCTTGGTGGCAGGTGGGCTTGCGGCGATGCTAGCGTCAACTAAGGTTTGGTTCTCGTTGATGCTGGCCAGACTGGACGTGGTTGCGGCCATGGGGTGGTGCAGATCGTTTCCAGGACCATCACTAGCCGCGCGCCGCTTTGGGGCGGCTGACAGCTGGGAGCTGGGGTCACGGGTGACTGACTCTTGCGGCTGTACCTCTTCACTGGGCAACGTCGAGGCCGTGGACGAAGACGTGGCCGTGCTATCTTCTGGAGAAATCACGATTCGGACGGGTACCTCATCGGCGTCGGGCGCGGGCGCGGGCGCTCCCAGGTTGCTGCTGGACTGAGGGTCAAGGCGGACAGAGGCAGGGCGCGAGTGATTGTCCGTCGAGGCGAGACTCCTTGACTCGTCTCGCTGGGAAAGCTGCGTCTCGCCGTGGCTGTGGCTGTGGCCCGACTTGACGGAACCTGACGTCGAACTTCTTCGAGAGAACTTGGCTTTGAGGCGAGCTTTGAGATCGCTGCCCATGGGGACAAGGCCCAGCTCGGCCACTGCGCACGCACACGTATGGGACAGTACCGAACGAAATGAGGCGTGTGAGACAAGGCTTGCCCTCTGGCTCGTGGTGGAAGGCGTGACACCACACGTGGAGCGACGTATCGGTGGGAGGGGGCAGAGGAAAGAATTGAGCGGCGTAGACCAGGAACCGATGGACAAACGTAGCGAAGGCGTATTCGAGACCAGAACTAGGCCGTCCCTGAGAAAGAGAAAGAGAGGGTGAGAGAGAAGAAAAGACGGCGGCCGATTCCCGAGCCAGTGAAGCACAATGCTGCTTTGGGTGTTAAGATTAGCTGCCAATGGGAACCGTTGGGGGGGAACACTCGAGCTCTCCTCGAGCCCTCCAGTGACAGGACTTTTTCTTTCTCTCTGTACTGTATGCAGGATAGGAGCAGGAGCAGATGCAGTAGCAGGAGTGGTAGCAACTTCATGCGAATGATTACGGGCACAGCTTCCGATCTGATCACCCCGGACGGTCCAGACCAGTTGATGAGCTGGCGGACCAGACAGTGGCAGACCAGACAGGAGGCGATGGGGGAGAGATGAGGCGCCAAACGGAGCCGTGGCCAGAGCCGTGACCAGAGCCGTGGCCAGAGCCAGATCGCGATCTCGAGTCACGTGCATGGTGCAGGGACGAAGAACAGACTCACGGCTGCGGGCAGCTGGCAGCATTACTCTGAGTCAGCAGAAGCACATGCGTGCGTCCTTGCACACATACCTACCCACACCCACACACACGTACCACGACACCCCCCCCCCCCCAAAGGCCGGTGAGGCCACTTAACCACAATTTTGGACCCCCCCCCCTAGAGCTGAGCTGTTGGTGCTTCCTGGTTGGATGGAGGTGCAGTGTAGCGTCCCGCGCCCCTTTACGATACGAAGCACGTAGGAACGAACGGGCAAGCAGGACGGTTTCGTCTTCCCTCCCTTCCCACCTCGATCCCTTCGTCGACTTCCGACCTCTGTTTGTCGTTTGTCGTTTTCAATAGAACCTCGCTTCTGTTGAAGGCAATTGTTCCCTCCAGAACAGACAGCAGTGCGACTTCATGACGGCCATCTGATGACCTTCTCTTCACGACACTCCTTCGTCCCATTTTGTTTGATCTGCCCATCACCCCAACTTACTTACCCCTGGTCCGTTTGTCTCTCTTCGACCAACGACTTGGATCCCGTCTTTTCTTGAACCAGTCTACACATCGGCCTCGAGGACGCGAACCCCTCGTCTCTCATCCTCGCCCTGCCTTGCGCGCTGAAGCTTGTTCGCCATGGCTCCACCAAGCGTGGCCCCGGGCTCCAAGCTCGCAGAGAAACCCGTCGCCAACTCGTCCAAGACAATTGCGAAGAAGCAGAAGAAGACGAGCTACAAGTCCGATGGCGTCAAGGACAATGACGTCTTTCTGCTTCCCGGCACAGACTACCAGATTGTTGTCGCTCTGACCATTCTCGCCGCCATTGTGCGCCTGTTCCGCATCTACCAGCCCTCCAGCGTCGTCTTCGACGAGGTCCAGTACGTCTCCCTCCGGCCCCTCTCTTCCCAGGGGGGGGTTCCGACCCCTCCGTCGATCGCTCCAGCGGAAACCATCATGCTAATCTTGCCTCTGCTCAGCTTCGGTGGCTTCGCGTCGAAATACATCAAGGGAAAATTCTTTATGGATGTCCATCCACCTCTCGCCAAGATGCTTATCGCGTTGACCGGCTGGCTCGCTGGCTTCGATGGCAACTTCGACTTCAAGGAGATTGGCAAGGACTACGTTGAGCCTGGCGTACCCTACGTGGCCATGCGCATGTTCCCTGCCATCTGCGGCATCCTTCTCGCGCCCGCCATGTTCCTCACTCTCAGCCACTGGCTGCCGCACCACAACGGCCACATGGGCTC